CCTATGCAGATGGGACAGTCCCCAAATATCACATTCAATCTCAAAGTGACCCTTCTAATAGAGGAGGTCTCTGTTCTTTAAGGTCAGATCAAGGTCCTCTGTACTTCTACAGTAACAGGGCATGTAAATATACCCCTTGAACAGAAAGGTTTGCCCCAAAGTTTTCTGCTTTGAACTGCTACTGTAATCTGTCTTCATAAACAGATTCTTCCCTTCCCAATCCAACACACAGATGCAGCAGATTACAGGATTAAAGCGTTCACACTGATATGTGACATTCAAAAGAATCTCATTCTATGAAGACTCGGGCAGAGGGAAATCCCACAGATACCTTTGCACTGAAGGCCTGTGCACACATTCCACTGTCCATGCCCTGCCTGCTCACTGACCAAGGGATCGGCCCAGCACTACTGAGCAGCAAAATTCCTCTGAACAGGTCCCACAGTGCAGAGCTTACTAGTGACAGCCTGTGACCAAACACCACAGCAGCATTCAGCTCCACAAAAATCCTTGCTCCAAAGCATCATTTTGCAGCTTCCCACAGGAACAAGCATGATCCATTCTCGCAGCACGTACACGCTGCACATTTCTCTTCACCTCCGTATGGAGCTGCCAGAGTTCCCCCTTCCTCCTTCCTGAGTTAGCTCTGCTGCAGTGCTTTATTCTGCTGCCTCTGCTCCCAGTGCTGTCTAGGACAGAAAGATTTCCACCAGTGCCCAGCCACCCATATTCTAAAAAGAAAGAGGGAAGAAAGTCTTGCAGAACACAACTCCCCCTCACCCTGAAGACAGAGAGGATGAGAAGCTTTCACCAGTTTACTAGATGTCTCTAGGCAGAGCAACTGAGTCTCCCAGTGCTGTCGGAAAAGCTCCCTGCAAACACTCAAAGTTGCCTGTTAGCACTTTAAAAGTCCGTTCATGCATTTCTTCCAGAAAGATAGAAGAGCGGAGTAAGTATTTCCTCAGACTGCCAGATCTTGACCCAGAAACCTGCGGGATCAAAGTCCTCCCTCCCCAGGGAGGTTCTCTAGGGTTAAGAGATCCAAGTACTGCAGGAGGAAAGGACTCTGCATTAGGTCATCCAATCTGGGCTTACCCATGGTGAAGCAGTGCTCCTCACTGCTCTAGAGGAAAACGTCCCTTCAAAATTGAACAAGCAATGCTGATTCTCAGCATTTAACAGATTCCACCCAAGTAATCAAGTAAGGCTTCACAAAAGCCATGTAAATAAAATCCCGTTGAAGCAGAGAGCAGACCAGCAAAGAAATGAGCTTGCCAGAGGGAAGAGAGACTGGGAGATGTGTCAGGGATTTCAGAAGGGACCCCAAGGAGATGATCTGTGACCTTACAGGCACAACACACAGACTGTGCTTCTGTGTCCGCTGGCCAGCAAACCTTGCTGCATGCTAGAAAGCTGAGCTTGCCTTGCTGTAGTTACAGTCAGTTTTCTGTATTTCTCTATCCTTGTTTCACAGCAGATGAGAGTACTGCCATGGGACCACAGAGGTAAACACTAAGGATATCCAAAAGGCTCAGAGGAGCCAGGGGATTATTCTTGTGCCACAACCAGATGATGAGCTAGATGAACAGGTCTTGTTTACAGAGTCTGCAGACCAGTCAGGGTAAGGACCAAAAAACCACAAGCAGAATCACATACATCTGTCAGTCACTGTTCCCTGGAGGATGCGCTCCAGCAATCTGTTTTGTAGCACATTAATCCCTGTTAACTAACTGTTGCACCAACCTGACAATGAAGTGCTTGGAGCCAAACAGCCATCACAACAGGATATTACAGAGGCACTGCAAAAAGCTTTCCCCTCCCCGCCTCATTTCAGAGGGTAGGAAACTTAAGGTTAGAATGGCTTTATTCCTGCCATGCTTGTACGAGACCGGGGACAGTCTTGACACGTTGCCGATTCCAAATCATCCCGCTAAGACACAACCACACAACTTGCAAAGGCAACAAAACGCTCAAAAAACTTTAGCAAGACCACTTCCATATGGGCACAGCATAAGAGAGGAGATATTTGCTTGTTTACCTCTGCAGAACTGAGCGGGGCACCAGATTACTCCTTCACCACAAAGAATGAGCACACTGATACAGCAGCTCACAGCTCTACCCAGCCCAGGAAGCAGGAGGACAGATCTGTGACTCAGCCCCAACTCTCAGATGTGGCACTGAAGCACATAAACTACAGAGACACCAGCCTCATTAAAACATTGCCCTGTTCCAGTTTGCAGAGTTTGAGTCCTGAGAGACCTGAGCTCTGATTTAAAAGGAACACCTGCTTAAACAAGATTAGTCATAGCTACAACCCAGCATCTCCTTAGCTTTCTAACAGCAGCAGATAGCTTCTATCTGGGAGTGGGGGCAACACAACCCACTTGCTTTCCAAGTGACTGATAGGAAAGCCTTTGACCTGAAGCAATATAGAGTTACAGCACGTCCGATTCCGATCGTTCGCCGACAGCCACATCAACAGCTGCATGTGCTCTTCCACCTGGCATGACAGGCAGTGTCCTTCCCTTCCCTCTGCAGCAGGAGGCAGAGGCCTCTCTTCCTCCCTTCTCTGTAGCAGGCAAAAATCCCTGCATATTTCACACAGCCTCTCTGTGCAGGGGACATCATCTCCAAGCATGATAATTCATGACAGCGTTTAGACTTGGGTACAGGCTGTTCTCAGTACAGAGACAGATGCAAATGTGGAGGGGTGAGGAGGGGTGTTCTCCCCTAACTTAGACTAGCTTAGGTTTTTTGCTTTGTCTGCAGCCTGGCAAGTCCAGGTCATCCTCCTAAAACAGGGCTGGGTGCATAACCCCACTGCCAAAAGCCAACTGAAAGCCAGGTGGCAGATGGAGACATAAGCAGCAGACGGAGAGGAAACGTCCAACTAAGATGGCAAGCCAACAAGTGTTCCTTCGCCCGAGCTCAAGGCTCACCTGCAATATGCTGAACGCCCTGAAGAGAGCGGGAACCGGTGAACAGCGACGAGCATCCACAAGAACAGTTAGACCCAAAGCCTGACATTCCGGTCTGCAAGGACAGAGAAAAAGAGGTCACGTTTGTCACCAATGCAAATCAACAAGACTGTGGAAACAGAACCTGTAGTCATGACAGGGTGAAAAAAAAAACCCCAACGAAAACAAAACACTACATTATGGCTCTGAAATGACAGGAAACTAACTGGCCACCTTCTCCTAACTAAAATACAGACATGGCAACCACCACCTGCATTGCTCAGTTTTTACCTTTGCTATTTCCACCTGAACTTCCCATTTTTGCAGTTCCTAGGATACATCTCACTGATGGCAAAGATGCCGATACCAGCTCTGGGTAATCCACACAGGAAAAACAGCCCTTCCTAATTGTGTTCAGGGACAGGCTTGGCCTTAGCCACACTGCTTTGCAAGAACAGCCATTCTGGACCAGACCCAACATCTGTCTTGCCCAGAATCAGATTTTAAGGGAGAAACATAAGAAAACAAAGCATGAGTAGCAGAAGTTTTCTCATGGGTTAAGTTTGCTCCCTTTATGAACAGTTCAAAGAGTTAGCTTTACCTCTTATTAGTTTAATCATCTAAAAAGTGAACAAAGGCTCAGTAGAGCCTGAGACGAGATGCAGGGGTGAGTCTGTCACAGTGAAAGGAAGAGTAACTGCAGCAAACTCCAGCCTGCAGACTCCAAAAACAATTGCCAGCCAGACATCAAGGCAGAATTTCTCAAGCCTTGCAGATACTCCCTCCCTCTCAGCTTGGAGGCCAGGCCTTAAAGTATCATCTCACAACACTGTATCATGGAGCTGCTGCACGACTGCCCCATCATAGCTCCCAAATCCCTTTTTCTGAGCTAGTGAAGGATAGCAAGAATGGCTTGGATTCATGGCAATGTGAAAATATTCAGTACATACCTAATCCTACCACACCATGTGCACAAGGCACACACAGATTAGCCAACGTGCTTATGAGCACCAGCCAATTAACCCTAGAGCAGGAGATCCCCACCTGTACAATTTTGGGACTGCTTGGACCAGGTTCCTAGGCCAATGAAGACAACCCGTTCCACTCACCGCCTCAGCTTCTGCACCCCTGAAAGCCCAAGAAAGTCACAAACCTTGGGATGCTATGCAAGTACAGAAGAAGGCGTACAAGCTCAGTGGTGTTGCAGTGGGGGTTTAACCAAGCTGTGTTCCTTGTTGTTATTATGGCCACCGCACGTCCCGATTTATCTCTGGTACCTGTAAAAAGAGGAGGAGAAAAAACAAAAGGTCACACAAGTAAGTCAACAGAGCCTGGTTCCGGATGTGTATGCTTCATGCTCCCCTACTACCACTCCATCACCTTCCTGGAAATGCTCCACAGAACTAGATACAGTGTATGTTGTAGATTGCGGTAGGCTACAAACACACTTCCAAAGTACCCAAATGCTGCCCCAGAGTGAAGCAGCCGGACTCTGCTTATCTTTCTGTCAGACCAGAGAACGCAGACAGGTTTGCAGAACAACGTGTGCTACCTAATGAGCCTGGGCACACACACTGCACGCTGAGCCTAGCACGTAACTAGACATCTCCTGAGAGCAAAGCCCTGGAGCAGGAGCCCAGAGCTCCTCCTCAGAGGCTGCAGAGCGGACAGCCTGGGAGCACACTCTTGCCTGCCTACAGCTCTGAGAAGGGGCATAGTCGCTGCCCGGCTTTCACTAGCTTCAGAGTTTGCTCAGTGCCTAGGGAATAGATAAGGCACAGTATGGGCAACACAGCAGAGTTGTAATATGTTGAGGAAGGAGAAACTCCTTTGCTTCAGTTAGGCAGGACAACAGTTCTGTCCCCTGCTTTCCAAAAGCCCAAAGACACAGCTTATCGCAGGAACCGAGCCTGCCCTATGAGCTCCCAAAACTAAATGATAGTCTGGCTTTAGGCTTTAGCCACAACGTGCACCAAGAACTCTGAAGAGAACGAAGTAACAGTGCCATTTCTGGCACTATGACCAGCCTCCTCGCCAGGTGGAAAGGAGAGGTAAAGAGCAGGCAGACACACCGCTTCAGAGCCCCAGAGCTGCCTCTGGAGCGAGCCTGCTCAAGCGACCAGCGCTCTGCGCGCACGCACGTCACCAGGAAGGCAGGTGATCTGGAGAACAGTAGGGACTACACCTCTATTGTGTGAAAAGTAATTCACAAGAACAGGAGCTGTTTCCTGTCATACAAATTGGGGGGGGGGGGGGGAATACCAAGAACAAGACAAAACCTTAGAGGCTTAGAGAAAGGTGTATCTTTTTGTCTCTTCCAAACTTCATTGCTACCACAGGAGATACTGTCTTGGACCACCTCTCTCCCTGCCCCAAGGACACGCATGTGAGTTGACAGGTAAAACAGATACAGATGGAGAGCCCCAAGCAGAGAAGAGAACTGCCCTGGTGAGATCTCAATCTGTCACTAGGATGTGACTTGAGTAAGGGCCACAGACACAGATGGGCATCATTTAGAAGCAGGCTTTCTCCCTCCCCAGGAACTGTGACCCAGCTAACAGCAGGGACAAAAATCTTTCATCATCTGTGTGATTCAGAAGGAGTTTTATTACTCCTGAAATACTGTATAATCAAAGAGCTGGAGAGAAATTAGAAAAAGGTTATTAATATACCTTGTTTCATGAGTTAAGGTGTTCATCAGAAAATAAAAAAAGCAGCAAAGCACTCAATGACTGGAAAAAATGGCTCAATAACCAGGCTCAGTAAAAACTGCCTTACTCTGAAGAAACATCTTTTGTCCATCAGGGGAGCTGGGCATCACCAGAACTTGATTAAACCTTGAGCTTCCATATAGGAGCCTGGGAAGTACCTGACCAGGGCAAAAAAGCAGCCACAGCCACCAGGGTTAGGTCTCCAACAGTGGCACAACCAGATGATTCAAGAGCAGAATGCAGAGCTGAAACTCTCCTGCAAGGAAAATTTCTTCCTAACTCCATCAGCTACTAGTTTAATAATCAGCTCGTATTCACTATTCATTATAAAAGTTATCATTTCTAATGTAATGATTATATCATTACCAATGTCTAACATAAAGCCTTTAACTGAGAGGTGAATTCATTCCCTCAAGTGTGAGGATTGCCCACTGAAATCCGAAAAGAGACACACAAGAGAATAGACGTCGGTCAAATCTGATACCACTTCTATGGAAAACACGATTCCTCCCTTGGACGAAAACTCTCTTGGAAGTGGTATCAAACCCAACCCTTGTTCCTGCAATACATTTCATGGGCAGATCCCTTCATCCCATATTCAAATTCATTTGCCTTGTTTAACAGTTGTACGTTACGACAGGAATCTGTGACAGAGGAAACAACTAGAGCATTAGATCACATAGTCCAGCTTTCACAATGACATGGACTCCGAGCTTCTCAAAGACCCCTCTCTCAAACCCTCTAATTTTTTGGCTGTTGTACACACCCTAAAACATCCAACCTGATCAGCAGATCAGATTAGAAATACTCTTTCAGAATTTGCTCTTAACAGTTCACCTACCAATGCGGTTACATGTTTGAATATATAACAACTCTGCCCTGCACTTGTTTCTCATTTCACCTTTTTCCAGAAGACTGTAAAAGTCTTATTTCCCTTTCCTCCTTCCCTGCACAAAGGCGTTCTACCTCAATCATCTTATGAGATAAACAACCTTCCAGTTGCTTGCCATGAGACATCCAATTCAGTTACAAGAAAGGGCTGTCACACTTTTCTACATCACCTCCAATATATCCCCATTTCCTTTTAGAACCAAGGCACCAGATCAGCGCGAACTATTTGAGAGGCATCACCAACAAGTACACAGAGATAAAAATCACATTCTTAATCTGGAGAGTCATCCCCTCTCCTCTACACGAGGTCAAAATTGGTCTTGCAGCCCCAGCCCCCACGCTTTCTGCTCTCCTTCCCCATTTCTTCATGCTCCACAGGTCCTCCTGACCTCTTCTCTGCTCTCTGGCTGATTTTCAACTCAATACTTGGCTCCTGAGCTGACAGAACGTAGCTATCTTCCTGCCCCGTGCTGGACAACCCTCTCACTGGCTATGGAAAGAAGCAAGCCCACGAGGGCTGCTTACAGAGACGTTGCCAAACGGCTCGTTCACGCTGGACAGGTAGATCTCACTTCCTCTGCTTTATTTCATAGTTGAAAGACATCTTGTGTGGGCCCTGCACACCAAGCAATCCTGGCTGCTCCATCTACCAGCCTCAGCTTTGTTTACTGCTCTGCCAAAGTTTGCCCCATGCAGAAGTTTTATCTGTAGCAATTTGGTACTCATTGCCATATCAGATGCAAACACTGAATAACGTTTGACCTACGACTGCTCTCAGCAGAACAATTCTGGGAAGTCCTCCCTTGATAGCTAGTTTTGTCATCTGCTATTTAGCTACGCTATCGTTCATCTCACATGGCGCTCAGCCACACTTCATTGGGATATTCCCTTCAACACTGTGTCATGAAATCAAATGTTTTCTAAAAATCTATTATATCGAGGCAGCTACATTTAATCAACTAAACTTCTAATTACCAAGAATAAAACTGGTTTTACAAGAGCACTGTCATATAACATCTTCTACACTCCTGTCCTTTAATTACCTACCAAGTGAATCAAGTTCCTATTGTTTCGACCAGGTCTGATGTCAGGCCCACCAGCCCATCATTAGCTGCACCTTCACTCTTCTCTTTTTGAACTACTGGTATGAGCCCACAGATTTGGCATTTCTGACTCATACGCGCTTGGTGAACATTTTGAGACTCCTGGGAGCAAGTTAACATTACTTTCATAAGAGGCAAGTACTACTTCCTGCCCTTCCCATCCAGAAACTTTAGGGGATTCAAGCAGCATTGCTTCTGGAGAGGTCTAGGGTGGAAGAAAGGGAATTGGCACCAGTCTGCAGGGCTGCAAACAGACGCTCATCTCCTTTGCCCTCCTACAAACCACGCTTCCTAGACACATTCTGGCTCAGCTACTCACCAGGCAGGAAGGCAACTCCGCTCCTGAGCACTTCTGGGTTCACATCCTTGACTATGGTAGGTGCAGACCGACCACCCCACGCAGTCCCAGAAGCTGGGGATGCTGGGGGAGTAATAGCTGTTGAGGTTTCCTCCAGGGCACTCACTTTACTCCCTGGTTTCAACACATCTGCACCAGTTGCTTCTTTTCTCGTCTCTGCCCCTTCTGACACCATCCCTGTAAAACAAGCAGCAGTCAGAACCTCGAGCAGAGCTCCACCCAAAAGGTCCCAGTTAAGTTACAGACTGGGGAGGGACATGCCCCCAGCCCCAGCACTCTGTAGCTCCTCCAGTCCTCGTGCCAGCAGCATGCACATTCCAAAACCAGTTGTAACTAATACTATTGTAATTCTAAAAAAAAAAAAAACCCACACCAAAACAATTTATTGAGAAGCTTGCAAGTTACAAAAACTCAATTCAGATCAGGATTACTGTAGTCAAAGTCACTTTTAAAGGTAACATATCAAGCAGTACGTGTCTGTGCACAGCCTGAAAGTCTGGCGTGGTGCAAGTCCCTGGCTAAACTCCAGCAGCTTGAGCATGCTGAAGTGATAAACCAGCTTCTGACAGGGAGAGCTGCTCCATCAGTGCAGAATTACTCCCCCAACACCACTCTCAGATTAGTTCCTGAAAATATGAAGTCAACTTGAGGCTGACAAATCAGCTGGAAATTAGCCAAAGAGACCTTGTTCTGCTCATCCAGACTTTTTTAATTAACAGCTAATGTGAAAGTCAGAAACCTATTTTAAAACCCTGAAGAACAGGATGATTACACCAATCAGCTCTGAGAACTGGAGAAAATCCTTCCTTTGCCTGACACCTCAGCTCTAAAGTACAAGGTATCAGAATCAGTTCATTTTAAAATTAAATCTCTTGGCTACTACATGGAAACTAATGCTAGTTTTATCAAGTTTCAATTTTCATGTAAAAGTAGCTGGAGAGAAAAAAATACATATACCTACTGTGTAAGAAGTAGTATTCCCCATTTCCCAACATTATAAGAATTAGAAGCCAACAACATGTCTTCAACAATACATCTTTAGCATCCTAAGTTGCACAGCCAAGCTATCCCACTCTTTGGCAGAAAGATACACTTAAGAAAAGGCTATACTTCGCTGAAAATCCTGATACTTCAGTATCTACCAACAAAAAAAAAAAATCAACCTCATCTTAGAAAAATAAAAGACTGGAGTAGTTATGGAGCTTGCTATGAAGTCAGACGTTCTAATTGCTATTTAAAATTGACTTCAACCATCCTACCTTCCTGCTGCATCAACAATGCTGACACTTGACTCAGTTTATTTACTAACAGATTCCAATACTTCATTAAAGAGCAGGACCAGGAACAAAGCAGTCCTTGAAGTGGCTTTCAATACAAGTTTTAGCAGTGAAGGAGATTTACAGGTTGAGGCTCAGCCCAAACTGCTTTCAAAATTGCTAAAGTGGGTGAGAGAAGTGCCCTGAGCAGCATGGCTCACTGCGCAAAATTATCCGACAGCGGGGGGAAACTAGGAGGGGCTCTGGAGCTCGGCACCATCGAGGCCATGATGGAGTAGCTGCTCATTACTTCCTGGTAACATCCCTCTTGAGGGAGCATCCCTGGGACTCGGCTTGGCATCTGCTCTGTTTGACCACGTAAGCTGCTGCGATGGATTCAGGGCTCTGCACAGTTCTGGGACGCGTCAATTCTGCTCCTCGTACTACCTCAGCCTCCACTTTCCAGTGATGCAAGAGGTCATTCACTTTGGACAATGCTGCTAGATCTTCCTGAAGCAGCATTTTAGAGGTGCACTGATCTCCCTTTAGACGGAGTATCTTGAAGATCAGAGTGTCACGTAAGTCATGTCCCAAAGGTTTTGCATTAAGGACTGATGGGCTTTCTAGGAGAACATCGAATCATCTTCTTAAGGAGCTGTAAGGCCTGGCAATAAGCAGAACCACAGTTTGTAGTAAAGGAATCTGCATTAAATGAAGACGACCAGCAAAGAGGACCAAAAGGTGGCATTTAAAAGAAAGCAAGAAAGGGAGCACAGCTATATTGAAGGTACCACACTGGGGAAGAGCAAGACATAAAGGTACATGACAGCCCTGCCTGGGATAGCTCTTAGAAATGAAGTAGCAGCTCCGGAAAGCTAGAAGAGAGAAGGATTTTGCTCAGCCCACCAGACACAGTCCCAGTACTGGGGCTTTTCAGCCCCAGGGGAACCTCACTGGAGTTGTGCAGCCTCCAAACTGCGTACATTTTGCCCAAACAAACCTCTTCTCTAAGCTTCTCGGGCTCAGTTCAGATCTGCAGACCTCACCTCTCTCCAAACAGGCCCAAGCACACTGTTTGTTATTTGCAATCTGGGGTGGAGGCACTTACTAAAGCGGAAATTGTAGAATGCGGAGGATTACATCAAAAAGCAAATTGAGAACTGGGACATCTGAATTTGCCGTGTTTGCAGGTTCCACCTTTCCCCGAGGTTAAGGAAGTGGTAGAGGAGGATTTGCTTGCGTGCATTTCAAAGAGACATTAGCATTTTTCCTGCAAACTGCCCCGGCACCAGTATCATCTATGCTAACATCACGTAGTAACACGGAGCGGGAACGGAACGCCCTAACAGGTGCTGCTGAATATGCCCCAGTGTGGCTTTTCAGCCAATTTCTTGAATATCAAGATATTTTCCACTCCCAAAATACAGTGATTCTTTCCAGAGCTGCAGAGTTTCAAAATTCACTTTGACTTAAAGTTAGTCATTCGGGGGAAAAAAAACAGCGATCACCATTATCTGTGAACAGGATCAGTGTAAATTTTAAGCCACCAACTCAAAACAGCTCACATTTGACTCGAAATATAAGTTAGATCTAAGTTAGTATTTGTGCAGAAAATAAGCTCACTGGAAGTGGGAGGGAGGGGAGAGAGCTACGGGACAATGAAAAAAATCTGCAAACACAGCAAATTCAGATGCCCCAGTTCTGAACGTGTATTTTGACATAACCTACAATGTCTGCCATAAGAAGCAAGCTCCTCCACCTCCCACAGAACAAATCATGCATCTCCCACTACTCCTGAGGTGTGAACTGCAGATCTGAATTGCCCCAGTAAAGCTTAAGCTTTGTTGTTATTTATAGTTTGGGCAACACACCCCCAGTTTTCAATCATAGTAGCAAAATGACCCCAACAAGACACAGTTACAGAGAATTTAACTCACCTACAGACTGACTGGCTGGAAAAGTCTATTTGTAGGACATTTGCTTCATTTTGTAATTTTATCTCTGAATTATCTTATTATTGTATCTCTGAGGGTTTAATGGGGCTAGATAAGGGGATAGCTTGTTTAGCTCTCAAAGCAATCAAATGTAATTGAATGGATTAAGCTTATTAGAGTTCCAGCTACAGTGTTTTAAGAAATACTCCTAGCATTAACAGATATTTGAGCTGCCCTGTGCCTTGAAGGGGGGCGGGGCGGGGGGGGGTGGTTCCTGGTGATTTAGGTTGTTTCTTTTGCTTTACAAACTCTGAGATAACAGGGTGGTTTATTTTGGGGGTTAACTGCAATGCCAAAGTTTTCATCATCAGAATTGGGCGACGAATGTCACTTATTTCAGCCAAATCCCCAGAAACATTTACATTGTCTTTCATTAAAAAGAGACCCCAGAGGGGTCCATCATTGCTGAAATCTGCAGCAGCGGCCAAGACTCCTCCTGTGGAACAGTGAGAACATCACACTTACCTCATACATGAGCTGGACCTGGCTAATTTTACACAGAAGAGATGGGAACACTGACCAAGGAGCCACTAGAGCCATGAGGAAAGCACACACCCAGCACTCAACACAGCTTAGATTTTCTGAGGTCCAGTCCTGTGCAAACATGAGGTCAAGCCAGATGCAGCGTGGTCAAGGGAACAGATACCTATGGCACAGTTATTTACTGGCATAAATCCCCCAAGAGCTACAGACAGGCAGAAGGTGACCTCTTTTTCAGCTCACCATGGTAGATGCTCAGAGAGGCACGCTTCAGAAGTGGGACTTTTGAGCTGATCCCTCCCTTTCACAGAAAAATGCTTGTCACACCAAAAGTATCAGAAATACCTGACAATCATGGGCTTGCCTAATTATGGCATTCAAATATTTTGGCGCAGCTGTTAATGAAATTTCATTTTAATCAATGGACACTTCAATTCCGTTAAGAGGTCACACCAAGGCATTAGGTCAAATGGGACTTTTGGACACTTGAGAAAGTAGCTGTGTTTGCAGCCAAATGGAGTAGTGCTGCAGCGGTGACGTAGGCTCTTACCCACACAATTTAGGACCGGCGCAAGCATTACGCTGGCAGCCCATCCCAAGACAACCAGCTCTCGATCTGTTCCTGCACAGCCTCAGCCATGCTCTAGCAATGTGGGTCTGTACCTCCGACCCTTTCAAGAATCTTCACTCTAATATTTCAAGCCGGGTAATTTTCCTAGCCAGGGGTCTCAGGGAATGAGAGCTGTTGAACTGGAATGGCATGTTTCCCCCGCCTCCGCCGCACACACACTCCTCGATGTGATCTGCATATCTAGCTACAGCTTTCCAGACTCAGCAGAGCTAGGCAAAGCCAACATCGTGTCCGTGCGGTTACACGCTGCCTGCCTACGGTCTGGTGCAAATGGCAGAGACCTGGATTGCCTGTTCAATTCCTTCTGAAGGAGCACAGCTCCTGCACAGGAACCCAAGGCGTCAAGAAATCTGGGCAATACCTGCTTGAACATATCATTTGAGTTGAAGTTCGAGGCTTCAATTCTCTGTGCTCTCCCACTCAAGTTAAACAGCTCCTACTTGAAACATAAGCAAGCTGAAGAAAGCATGCCGGA